AGCTCATAGTTATTTTCCCCCCTCTGGTTATTTCCCCTTCGTTTTCAGCAACCACCCCCCTATCAACCGCCAAAACAACGCTTCTTACAAATTGGGGAGAAAAAGCCTCTTGGATATCCCCCCGAGTGAAGCACATATGCCAAATGAAAAAACGGGTCACCTTCTTAATGACCATGGTTTAATCCATTTTATCGTTTAAATATATTTACGGGTGTTTTCACAAAATGGACAAAATTTAATTCAAATGTGTGTATGCGCATTTTCAACGCGTGCGGATATTTATCGACATAAAGATGAAGTAGATTACGCATCAATGTGAATGAAAAAGGGTTAACACCGACTGTGTCGCGGTGATGGTTGTGCGTAAATCAAAAATAAAAAAAAAAAAATAAATAATCCACTGTGTGTGTGTAGTTCAATGCTGGGAAGATGCGTCCATGCGAGAGTACACAATAAATATGGATATTCGCCAGCTGAAGTCTCGCGTAGGGAACAAAAAAAAAAAAAAAAGGGAAAGAAAGAAAAACACATAGCGAAGGGAGATCGCATTTACGGGGGCTTGTTACCCTTTGCAAAATTAAAACTCTACACAGTGCGTGAAATTAAAGTAAGCACTGTGGCCAGATGGCGAGATGTGGATGCCCCTGAAGGGTAACCCAACTTGACCGCGACACCGCCTCACTTTATGTGGGCCCGCCTCAGCGTCACCGACCGGACGAACAGAATGTCCCTAATTTTGGCCATATCGTTGCTGTTCATCCATCCGTAATCCTTCGTACACACGTCCTGCGTCCTCAAGTTGGATAAATAATCTGCAACGTTGTTGTCGTATATGTCTACGTACTGATACACCATTGAAAGTTTCAGGGGGCTAACAGAAAAGTGGGACTCCGCGGAAAAACTTTTTCTCAAGTGAAAGGTGATTGATTTTTTTAAAAACTGAAAGATGTCATTAATTTCTTCATCCATCTGAGGAGTAATTTCATCATTTGAGGAGACAGCACTTGAATATATGTCAAACATATTTTTAAGATCATTTATGTCTTTGGGGTATTGGTTACTCCTTAATGGATGGTAACCAGACTTCTCCGCATTTGGAACATCAGCATGGTCATCATGTTGGGACAAACTTTGCGACCATTCGGAATATATGTTAAAATCTCTTTTTTCGTTTTCATCCGTATGTGCTTCTTGCGTGTGTGCTTCGTCCGTGTGTGCTTCGTCCGTGTGAGATTCTTTTTTCACGCTCATCGTGTTACTCCCCTTTTGCCAAGTGCCCTCTGGTTTGCCCTTTTTATTTGTGTCCCTCCTACCCGTAATATTTACCCTTTTGATAATCTTTGTAACTACCCTATCGATAAACTTTTTTCTCTTTAGAATGATTCTGTTCATTTCATTTGCACTCTTCATCTTAATCTCTCTAAAGTAGTTGTCCCTAAAATCTATTGTTTGGTAGATATAACTGGAGGGGTCCTTCCGCGGGTCGTAGCCATATTTACAATAGGTGCGTCTCCAGGGGCCATCCCCGAAGTAGAAGCAAATTCGCGAGAAGCAACTCTTGAGACAGTATGTGCTCACACTGTCAAGATGTTCTAATATGACTTCCTTTGACCAAATGGGTCTCAGTTCGAACAGCTCCTTTACCCTTTTATATAACTTATCGGACACATATTTTTTTAATGCAGAATCGAATGGGATATATGGAAAAGTGGGATCATCAAATTTGGCTATCGGGTTACAGTGGACTGTTTTTTTACTTACTATAATTTGGTTGCTCTGCTTTTCTGCGTGGTTTACATTTCGGCTTGCGATTCTAGATTCGCTGGTTTCGTGGTCGTCCTGAGGGGGGCTGCTCCTTGGGGGGCCACTCATTGGGGGTGATTCCATCAGCAGCGCTTCCCCGTCAGAGCGGTCATCCGAGTGGTCAACAGAATGGTTAGCGGTATGCTCATCCGAATTGTTAGCCTTATGATCATCCGAATGGTCATCCGAGAGGTCATCACAATGCACACGTGTATCTTCACCCGCACGATTCTCTCCATGCCGCTTCCCGTCGTCACCGTCTCTAACACCCCACACTCGTCCTGCATCGCAATTTTCACCCACAGGTTTACCCAAATTGTCACGACTCTGCACTTGTTCCTCGATCACACCGTGCACACTCTGGGCCATCCCAACCACGCCTTGGAAGGTGGAACCTCCCGGCGATCCCTGTTCAGTTCTGTTAACGATAAGCTCTTGAATAATCTTCTCCATTTCTCCTTTGTATGGTTCCACGTTCGAAAAGATCGGAGCAGTAAATTTGCTTATTAGATATCTGTACTCCCTGAGATATCTACTCGTAGTTGTCGCTTCGTAATTTCTGTAGAAATATGGATTTGTACTTTTGCTATGGATGCAACAGTTTAATTCGTACCCTTCACTTTCGTCTGAGGAAAACTCACTCTCCTTCACTTGGTGGAATAACTCAATATTATTCTTACAGCTTATGATTTTTTTGTACAATTCATTGTAATCTGAGTCGGAGAAGTAGTCATCCTCTTGGGCACCCATTTGCATCGTGTGGTTAAACCTGGAGTCGTCAAAGGGGGATGGTCCTCCACCTGGAAGTTCCTCTTGGACGTTTACTCGTGGGGGGATTTCCGAGATGGCAACGTTCATTCTGCTGCTGCATTGTGGGATTCTCACATCTTGGCCCATTTCAGCAATTCGCCTGTCTGTGAAGGAGCCCACCTGGTTGTCTTCCTCCTTTTCTTCAATGCTAATTGGGTAGAAGCCTTTTCCGTGCTCTCCCCCTTCTGCCTCCCTTCCTCCGTTCCGACTGAACACAAAGAAATTCGGATCGTTCTCGTTACTTCCACATTTGGGTAAAAACAAATGGGCGTCTTTATTAGATTCCACTTTATTGTTACTGCTCATATTTTGAGAATAGCCCCGTTCGTAGATAGCCATTTCATCAGAATTAGACAGCTGTGCACTTAGGTTCATCACGTTCGAGGTTTGCCTCGTATGGTTGCGCATCTGTGTGTCCATTATGCTGTTCCAGCCGTCTGTTTGACGATTTGGAATGTAATCCATGTGAGGCACATTTTCTTTGTCACCATTCTGATGGAGTCCAAGATGGCCTATGGCTCTGTCGGGAAGCAGTTTTCCACTCCGAGCAAACGTGGTGGAGAAGAAGTGTTCATCCTTGGCCTTCGAGAGTGGATTTTCGAAATGGTCAGAGGGGTCACGAGATCTTCCTTCCCCTTTCTCGATTTCCACTCCCACTTCCACTCCCGCCGCTCCCCCT